ATATATATATATATAGTGAAAATATTATACTTATTCTCTATATATATATATATATTATCATAACTAAAAATTTCAATTACTATTTTAAGAAGAATACACTTAATAATAATATTGAGAATATTGTTATCTAAAAAAAAAATTAGGATATTACACTTTCTCAAGATCATACAAAGCTAGATTCAAAAAGATTGCTAAATACATCATGACGTTAGTTAAACTGGATCTAATGACTACAATGCCACTTTTGATTGAAGTAGTTATAGATAAAGTAGAATACATCATCTCCTATGCAAAATCATGGGAGGCTAATCAAAAGGCATTGGAACATGCATTTAGAAACTGGGAAGAATAGTACAAGTTGTTGCCTAGATGCCTTCAAGCCTTCCTAGTTAATATTCCTAAAACAATCATCCAAGTTCAAACACATCTAGTCCTAAAAAAATGATATGTTGGTTCCTAGCAAGAGAAGCTTCCATCACTTTCAAACCATGCATTAACGAGTTTGTATACTACAAGCCAATTGTTCAAGTTGATGGAACCTATCTATACAGGAAATACACAAGGACTCTATTGCTAGTTGTGGCTCAAGACGGGAATGACCATATAATATTGATAGCCTTTATCATCGTTGAGGGTGATACAACAAATGTTTGGTTCTTCTTTTTGAAAAATTTAAGAAGGTATTTCACACCCTAATGTGGACTCTATTTGATTTCAAATAGACATGAATATATTAAAAGTGCTTACAACTATGAGGATAGTGGTTAGGGGAAGATCAAACACTGCATGTGTTTTGTATTTAGCATATCAAAACTTCATGAGAAAATAAGAGAATGTTGATCTACACAAATTTGTTGTCAACATGGATAACTAACTAATTCATCTAAATTATATTTTTATGCAATTTATTCTGACGTCGACAAATATTACATTATACATTACCTAACTTCCCAGGATATGCGTTGACAAAAAGCATGTTCCATCATTATTATAATGATCTTCGACATGTGAATTTTGACAATGTCAATTGACTTGATTGCATACCTAAGGAACAATGACTTTAATCATTTGTCAAAGGTCGACGGTGGGAACACATGACAACTAACCTTGTAGAGTCCATCAATTCCTCAGTACTTAAGGGCACCCGAAATTTACCAATAACATTATTGGTCTTAGAAACATACTTCAAACTAGCTAAATTATTTGTTAGGAGAGGGAGGAAGCAAATGTAATGTTGTCAATCATTCACAAATATGGAGAAATTGTAAAAAAAGAAAAAAAAAATAAAAGCCATGGATGACAAGGTGACAAAATCCACTTCTTAAAAAGTTGAAATGTTTGACTTGATAAAATCAATCATTCATTGTGTTTGACACGAGAGTGGACGACCACCAAAGAGATTCGGTGTATTCTTCCAAACACAAAAGTGATTGTAGTAAATTTCAAGCGATACACATGTCTTGTTCACATCTTATAGTTACATGTGCACATGTTTAGTTGAACCACATGTCATTCCTTTTTCCAGTTTACAAATTACAAAATGTTTGTAATGTCTATAGTACTTTGTTTGAAGTACTCACTAACGAAAAATGAGTGGTTGGAATAAAATGGAGATGAAGGGTGTCATGAACCAAAAATGTAAAGAAATCTCAAATGTTACCCAAAATCTACTTGCATACAAATTGAGATGGGCCTTGGGGAAAAGAGTCAACTCAAAAGATGAGATTATTATTGAATTGTTGAATGTTAAAAAAATGTTTACAACTATAAAAATTATGATCTATGTTTTTTTAATGTATTTTGTGTTTGAATAATACTTTTTCTAAAAAAATCATGTATTTTTTTTCCTAATTTAAATTATTTAAATTTAATCTATCCTTTAAACATTTTTAATAGAAATATACTTTATTCATTTAAATATATATTTATATATTAAAAATACATTTTTATAAATTAAATTTTAAAATAAAAATAAATTTAAAAAAACATGTTGAGAAGCTGGCCGTATACCTAACTTCTTAATGCATATAAAAATGTGGCATATGGATAAATAGAACAAGAAATGAAGCACTTTAACATTTTAAATTTTTTTGTGACATTCATATAAAAAATTCAATATATTGGGTTTTTTTGACCCATGTCATGTGAGGTCATTATGTAAACATATTACCTAATTGATGTTCATTTAAAACATTTTATCACTCTAGGACAGTTAACCATGGGTTATAATTGACTTTTTTAAAGTGGTAAAATGTTTTAAAAGAACCCTAACTAAATAATATACTTACAAAATGACATTGCATGGGCCGAAAAGTCATAAATCTCCTTGGTCTATAAATCATAATAATAAATAAATAAATTATATATATATATATATATAATTTTTTTTCCTTCTATTTTTTTTTTTCTTTACCAAACACATACTTAACATACAAATAATTAAAATATATTGATTTTTTCTTCAATAACACTCGATGTTTAAAGTTAATATATACAAATTAATAAATAATTAGTCGATATATTTAGTATTTACACTAAAAAAATACTCCTATTTAATCCTCTCCCTAACTAAAAATCATAAATTAAATTACATGTTTTTTTCTACCCGCTTTAATATTCTTTTCCAATGCACTAATCTTGTAAAATCAAATGCTTTTAATGCAACATAAAATCTTTATTTTAAATAAGGATATAGATGAAAAATTATTAGTTACATCTTAAATTTCTAAAACATCAATAATTTAAACCAATTAAAAAAGTTAAAAAAACTAGATCAAGTATCCCTGACACCCACCGATGGACTAAAAATAAGAAAAATATTCCATCTTTCACCTGATAAATTGGTCAAGTAGAAGGTAACTAATCAATTTTGAAAGAGAAAAAAGATTACTCCCTTCCCCAAAAATAATTAATATTTTAAAATTTGAAAGTTAAATTAATATATTTTTCAATTATAGTGTTATTTAGTAGACATTTTTCATTAATTAATTATTTATTTATTTTTTACAAAAATGAGATAATGAAATATTAAATAATCATTTTAATATAAATTTATATATATTAAATATTTTTTAATATGAGTGTTAACCTTAAAAGACTAAATATTTGAGAAGGATGAAGTAATATAAACATCAAGTTTAACACATCACTTCGTCCTTAATTTTTTTGAAAACTTGTTTTAAGTCTCTAAAGTAATAAAAATTGTAATTATGTTCTTTATTTTATTTATTTATTTATTTATTATATTTTTATAATTTAGTTCCCAAAATTATATGTTCTTCTATCATTCATAAAGTTTGATAAAATTATTTTTTATCTCTTTATACGTAGACGATCATATTATATTATTATTTTATGTCATAGTTTATATGTAATAGGTTTTAATCTTTATTTTTTTTTTTAACTATTATGTAATTCTTATAATTAAAGAAATTTTGTGAATTTTTATGGATAAAGATTAAAATTTGATATATGTAGATAGCTATATTAAATAGTAACGTGATGTAATTGTTTAATTATGAGAGAAAAAATTATGTTAAATTTTATATATTACAAACAAACATTTAATCTTAGAGACTAAATTAAAAATATTAAAAAATTAAAGAATTAATTACAACTTTTTAAGGAATTTGATTAAAATTTCTATAAAAAAATAGAGAATTGTATTAAACATGAATACTAATCTCCTCGCTACGAGGGAGATACCTCAAAGAGTGAGATAGCTGGCCCCAAGATTCAGCAGTAACTAATCTCCTCGCTACGAGAGAGACACCTCAAACAATGGGAAGAGTCACCTCAAAAGGTAGGATAGCAAGCCCCAAGATTTAATGCGACTGCATACACAAGACAAAGATTCAAACTCTTGACCTTATTTAAGCATGATCAACTCTTACCGGTGAATCGCATAAGGTTTGGTTATTATACTTTAATTAATGTTATTACACGAACACATACTAATTCATTAATTAAATTAACGACCCGAGTCAATGACTCTGTCTTGCTCTTATTTTATTTCTTGATATCATCCATCATCCATCATTCAATCTTCATTGCCTTTGCTGAGCAAAGGGTACGGAGCCATTGACTCAACTATTAAAATATATTAACTAAGCTTAATAACTCAAGTAATACTATACTCCATTCTTTTAATCATAGTTTTAAATTTAAACTTTATATATAAAAATGTGATTAAAAAGAAATATTTTACTAAAAATGATTAACTAATTTTTTTACAAAAATTAATTATTAACAAAACTAATAATATAATTATTAAAAAAAACTTAATAAAGTGTTCTTTCCATTCTTGAATAAAAACAAAAGAATATCATTAATAATAATTTCAAACATAAGTAAATTTTAATTAATTTTATGTTATTTAATAATTTAATAAAACTATTATTAAAATAGTCTTCATTTAATTAATATTGTATTATGAATGATATTTTCCAATTCTTGATATCAAGTTATGATAGCGATTTAAGAAATGATAAAAACAAAAAAAAAACATAGCGATCGAAGAAAGTATTGTCGAAAAAAAAAGTATATGGAAAATAAAATCAGCCAACGAAAAAAACATATTGAGTCATATATATCAATTATACATGACTTTTTTTCACAAAATTCCAAAATATTAATCATCAGCCCTCGTTCCCTTTCTTCTCTTTCTCCTTTTTTTTTAATCAAAATTAAATTAAGTAACCAAAAGTTATGTAAAACTATCATTTCTTTTAAAATATACTATAAAGGAGGGTAATTTTCTGCTTTAAAAAAAGAAAAGAACAAGACCAGTTTTTCAAGTTCTCAAACCAAAAGCAGACCATCTACTTTTTCCTTCCTTCTTCATCTTTAAGGAGTTGGAATCTATAAGGTTTTCAAGCGATTTTCCCTTTCTATTCCGAACTCTTCCTGCTTCTTTCAAAAGCTCAAATAGCCTTTTCTTTTCATCATCAACATCTGGATTTGCAGTTCCAAGTTTTTCTTCTCTCATCTTTAGTATGTATTCCAATATCTCAATGGCTTCTTCAACTCTGCACACAGAACATTAAAAAAAATCACCCACCAAGAAATAATCATCACACCATTACATCTTAATGCCATAAATTCAATGCTTCATGGATCACAAAAAAGTCCTACCCTGATTCCTCTAAGCAAACACAAAAAAGATATGCACAATCATCAAACTTCATTTTTAAGTCAAGTCACTGAAGAAGTGGGAACACACATTTTTCATGACATGCCATGAAAGAATTGTCTCCAGCACAATGAGTGATCATGATGAAATTTCTATGGTGCAACAAAGATGACAGTCCAAGCATTTTCTTTTAAATCATTAGTGTGAAATATCTTTTGATTTTGTCAGTGACCTGGAACCTGGTTGGCCACTTTCAATGGAATACTGGAATCTCCCCTCTAACATCGCTTTTTCCATTTACAAGATTTGAATTTGTGTTCTTACTTAAGGAGATTAAACCCAGTTCCACTTGAACTAACAACTACGTGTGAGAAGCAAAGAGAGGAAAAACAAAACAAAGGGACACATGTAATGATATAAAGAAGCAAAAGATGTTTACCTCCCCATGGCATCATAAGTTGCTGCAAGATTGCTATACACCCCAAGAGTGTCAGAATGATATGTTCCATACTCTCTCTCCAATATCTCTCTTGCTTCTTCAAAATGTTTGGCAGCGTCCCCTATTTTATACAGTTGCACGCATGCCAGCCCCATCTGGTTCAATACAACTCCAAAAAAGGCAGATTTACTCTCCCCACTTGCTCTCAGCTTGGTGATAGCATTCTCAAAAGACTTCCAAGCATCCATATACCTCCCAACCATGTAGAACATCACTCCCATTTGAGCTTCTATTCCTGCAACTGTCCTATATTGTCCAGGGATATCCTCCAACAACTTCACCGCCTTCTGCAACAGCTTCAGCGCTTCCTCTGGCTCATTTAGAGCCTCATAGATGGAAGAGATTTCAGTCAAGCCGCTCGCAATCTCACCGGCGGTTGTTCCAGCCGCCGGCCTTACGTATATTCTCCAGG